AACTTAATCATAGCTGGGCAGGCGATAACATTTTTGGATGTAAAAAGTACAAAAATAATAAAGCAATGTAAAACTTAAAACACAAATTCAGTTTTCTCCGAAGTTCAGTTGTCTTGATGTAGCCCCCAGGCTTCTCTCAATTATCCCTAAGCGTACTCATACCACTCATTGAGAAACACTGGTCTGACACCCAAAATTACATGACCCTGGGGGGGAGATTTATGACCCAGGGTGTATTGGGGGAGGCAAAACGCAAGTCCACTGTCCTGTTGGAGAGGGTGTGGGGAGGGGGGAGGGGAGGAAGGTGAAGACTAAACATTTCAGCCCTAGAGGCCCTGTAACCTGAGCCCTGTCACCCAAGCCTGAAGCTCTCAGGCTTCCATTAATGGCAGAGAGCCTTGGGTTTCAGCTTTGGCCACAGCAAATGTAAGTCAGCCCTGGCAACTTCATTAAAATAGGATTGTGATTCACTTTGGGGTCCTGAGCCACAGTTTAAGAATCACTGGTGTAGATAATACTTTTTCCTACCCTGAGTGCAGCAGTCACGACTAGCTGACCCCTTTAGGTCCCTGGCGGTCCTTTGGTTGTTTAATAAGAACAAAAATATCATGCTCCTGTATCAGGGTGGGGAACATTTTTTGGGGGGTCGGGGCCGGTGACCTACAGAAAAATCAGTTGGGGGCCCACACACAAGTGAGGGGGGAAAAACAACCCAAACTGTTACTGCCATGGTCCCCAACTAAGAGAAAGCACTCCCTACATTCCACTGGCACACCTTTCCCTGGGGATAGTCAGCCTAGTAGATTTCTGTGTTCTCCAGCCCTGCATTGGAGGGAACTGGAGTGCCAGTGTGGGCTCCCCAGTGTTGGGGGGGAACCCCAAGCTTTGGGGCCGTATCCACATAAACCAGGAGTGCATCTAGCCACCAGGCCTCAGGTTCCCCACTTGTGCTCTATATGAATCCATGGTATGCCCACACATCAAATATTGAGCATAGTGCTGATTGTCCCATGTGTGTGTTTAAAAAAAAATGGGGGGGGGGAGAGGAGTTCAAAACATCTTCCCTATAAAATTGACTGGAGCTGTTTGTTAGAAGAAGAGATGAGTAAAGTGGTGATATAAACAGAGGTCTATAAAATCATGAAGGATGTGGAGTAAATGTTACCCCTTCACATAACATAAGAACGTAAGGTCACCAATGAAATGAATAAGCAGCAAGTTTTTAAAACCGGCCTAAGGAATTACTACTTCATAGAGCTCACATTGAAACTGTGGCCCTCATTTCCAGGATATGTTGTGAAGGCCAAAGGTATATCTGGGTTCAAAGAAGAATTGTTAACATTCATGGAGGATATGTCTATCAATGGCAATTAGCCAACATGGTTAGGGTCAGGGATGCAACCTCATGCTTTGATTGTCCCTAAATCTCTAGCTGCCAGAAGCTGTGATTAGAAGACAGGGAGTATATCACTTGATAGTTGCCCTGTTCTGTTTATTCCCTCTGAAGCATCTGCTGCTGGAAACCGTTGGAATACAGGATACTTGTCTAGGTGGCCCATTGATTTGACCCCTTATGACAGTTCACATATATTGTGCTTTCCTTTGGGCTCACTGGAAATTTGGCTTATCTCTAAATAGTGTCATTTAATTAGTTGAAGTTTTTTGCCTGAAGTAGAGGTAACAGTAGTATTTTACCCGTGCAAAAACAAATAATGACTGAGAGAATGTGTGCATTTATTTTGATTAATGTTGTAATTCTGGCTTTGAATATGCTAGATTTCTCACAGATTTTTCTCCTCGATATGCAATCCACAAGTAAATTACAGATCTTGCATTGTTTTATAGCTATATTAGATGTATGTTGAGGGACTTGAATATCAGTAACAGGAAACTTCAGTTGGAATGTGCTTAGTGGTTTGGGGGGCTAGATCCACCAAGAGAATTTAAACTTAGCATAAAATAACCCAGTTTTGGCACTTTATTGCTTAGTGGAATCCTTAGTCTCAGTTTGCTTCCTTGGATATGGAATTAAACACCTAAGAGTGGGATTCACAAAAGCCAGCAAGCTGAGCAGGGAACTCTCTAAGGCTATATCTACTCTACCGATAGGATCAAAGCAGCCACAGTCGATCATCTGGGGTACGAATTAGCGCTCTAGTGAAGACATGCTGATTTGAACTGAAAGGGTGCTCCTGTCGATGCCAGCAGTCCTCCTCCTGTGAGGAGTAAGGGAAGTCAAAAGGAGAGTGTGCTCCCTTTGACTTGCCACAGTATGGACAGTACCAAAAATCAAGTTAAGATCTTCAACTTGAGTTGAGCAATTAAGGTAGATGAAGTTGTATATTTTAATTCAAACATACCCACTTACCAGTGGTATATGAGCAGTAGGAAGTGCTGAGGAGAGCCAAAATTTGCATATCCCCTAAATAGTAATTTAGTATTGTTTTTTGAGGTGGTGGTGAATCATTTTTAATGTTGATTACTTTAGCTCCAAAATTATGGATTTCTAACCTCATAAGAAATCTAACAAATGCTGATCACAAATCAGATTCACTATTGGTATGTCATGGTACCTCAGAGAGAGTGTTAGGTATGCATATGAAAACTCCAGTGTGTAATTTGTTTACAAATTTTTTTCTATATATGGTCTTAGAGTAGGAGGAGACTAGGGAATATGGCTGTTTATGAGGGCCTTGGGCTCCTTAGAAGTAATATCTGTTCCATGACAGTTTACAGATCTTTACAAATGGGGTACATCCTAAAATGCACAGGAAATGCACCTGTTTGTCACAGATCTTTTGACAACCTCAATATTGGAGCCGCAAAAGCACCTTAAGAGGTGCTTAGTAGCAGAGATACGGTCTTATGCAGCCTGCACATATATAGAAAACTATTTTTGCTTTATTCTAGGCAACTTGACAGCTGTCTTAAAGAATCTGGTGGACCAAATGGTCCAATCAAAGGTTTGATTGCAGAGTATCTTCAATGATGAGAGTGCCTGTATATCCATAAGTTTACAAAATCTTGATTCTGTAGATGTAATGAGGATAATTTGCTTGCTATTAGTTTTAATGTTGTAAGGTTTTAGTTTTGATGCTTTTACTAATGATTTTATTTTTTATTACTGAGCAACTTAATATGATATAAGTTATATATATAAAAGGATTTCTATGCAAAGGTTTGCTGTTTATTATAAAGAAGATTGTTAAGCATTACTATCGACTGTTTTTATAGATGTCATGAATAGAAAGATTCCAAGAATATATTATTGTAATTTATCAATATTTGATCTACCATCTGACATACAAACTGATTTATTTGGCTGCGGTAGTGTGAATGAGCCACTCTTGTTTACAGAGAGTCATATCTGTTTGTATGAATAATTAAATATACATTTCCACACTAGGTTTTGAGAAAATGTGTTAAATTTGCATTGAATAATGAATTTTCAATGTGCACTTAATTTTTTCAAACACACAAATTATATAGAAGTAAAAATGAATAGTTTCCGAAATCGGAGTATTGCATCCATAAATATGTTCTGAAAATTCAACCACCCCATCTTACTGTACCTCTCTGTTGAAAGTGTATGTCTGTGTGTTTAATGTCTAGGGATCATGTTTCTCTACTACCAAAGCTCTTTTGAGGTCCTGTTTATACACTTACAGGTTCTCTTTCTTTCAGACATACAACTGTTGTCTTCATTGACTTGAAACAAGAAGGGGTGAAGAATTACAATTCATTCCTCTTGAGAACGAGAATAAATAGTTAAAAAAGCCTGTTTTCGTCATTATTTCACTCTGTGAATAGCTGAATCTGTTGCATAGGCTTGAGGTTATCACACTGATAGAATAGAAGGTTTCTAAATGCACTTGAAAAGAGAGTAATTAATAGTTCCTTTACTATTTATTTTTTCTCCTGTTGTGATCTTTTAACCTTTTAAGGACTGGTTGCAACTCATATTGTATTTCATCACTTCCTTTTCTGGTGAAATTTAAACTAGGCTAAGGTTCAGAAATATGATACTGCTTATTAACCAAAATATATGACGATTTCCCCCCTCCGCTTCCCAAAAAAACCCGCATAAAACTTTATCATTATATTTCATGTGTTCACAATAACTGAATATTAAAATGGAAACCACCAGAAACCCTGATACACTCATGCTATGTTTTTTTTTCTATGTAGCTAGGAAATAGAATGGGGTTTTCATCACTTTAAAAAAAAGGAGCCATCACTATCAATTTCAAATATGGCACATTACTTTGATATATAAAACTAACTTCACACAGAATTATATGAAATGAAAATTGGTTCAGATAGAAAATTCATCCACCAATGAAACATACTTAACATACTCCCCTGAAGGCTGCCCCACTGATGGCTCCTCTCCCTGGGACTCCCAAGACTGGGGTACCCTGTCCTGCCCCACTAAAGCTGGCCTGGCTGAGGTTCCCTGCCCTTCTGCCTGCCAGCTGCACCAGGAGTTCCTAAAGGTTCCTGAGCCATGGCTGCCTGGCCACCACCAGCCCCGCTACGTTCGGCGGTTCCTCTGGGTTTCCCAGGCCACCTGGCCACCACCAGCCCCACTGTTGCTACGGGTACTTAATATTAGTTGACACACATTGTTCGTGAACGTCCAAAACTTTAAACAAAGAAACCTTCCAGTCTGTAAGCTAATTTTTTTCTAAGAGTTGTATATGCTTTTTGTAAATTTTAATTTACCGATGTCAGAAAACTAGTACTGCTTAGTCACACTGAACATCATTAATTGATCCATTTGTCTTTATCCAGAATACTTTTATTAATAAAAACCTTAGTTTGTCTCAGTATATACTCTATTAAAAGTAACTGTCTAAAATCCTTTCCTCAGATGGTTTTAAAAATGGTACTGTACTTTTAAAAGGTTGTCACTTTGACATGGATGACTATTACAGTAACTGGTGAGCTGCCCCATATATGTAAAATGTTGATTTATTTTTGTTTAATAATTCTTGCAGGTGCATTCTCCTTCCTCTTTTGGGGATGAAGCCCCCCCAGCAGAGCCTCTTTCTACTTGTAGATTCGATTGATGAGGGTTGTAATGTTGCAGAAGGTGAACAGACTTCTACAAGCATATCTGGAACTATTGCAGAGCTTTTAGCTGATCACTACGAGTTTTTCCCTCCATGGTTGCTTCTCCTCTGCTCTGCTCGCAAGCAGAGTAAAACTGTTACCAAAATGTTTACAGGTGAGTACAAACAATTGTGAATTGTTAACTACCTACGTGCGGTAACAAACATGCATAATTCTACAGGAACTTTACAGGTGGTTGAAAATGCTAAGTATACATTTTAATTGCTCTAAATTTGTTGTCAAACTGTTAAAAACCTTGATAATCATTCTGTACTACTGATCAGTAGTTAATATATACAGTAAAACTCCATTGGTCCGGCATCTGATGGTCCGGCACTCCTGATGGTCTGGCACTATCAGGAACCCGGAAGTGCTCCAGGCAGCCGGACCATTGGATCTGCTCTGCCCCCAGCTTCTCCGATTCAGCCGCTGCTAAAACTGACCAGCGGCTGATTCAGGGAAGCCGGGGGCAGAGCGGCTGGAGTGCTGCTGGGTAGGTCTCGTAGCACTGCCCCTCTGGGCTGCAGGACCAACCCGGCAGCAC